AAGAGCTATTTGAGAAACTAAATCACATCAATGAAAGAATAGCAATGAGTCAATTGATGGAATATTGCATTAGCAATGGCCTCTGACCTCGCATGATGCCAACTGAATGCTTTTTCCTCTTTGTAATTTAATCATTTCTCAGTTAAATTAATTTCTTAAAATCCACTCAGATAAGCTGCCTATGTTACACACACACACACACACACACACACACACACACACACCCCCTCCAGGTGTAGGTGAAATGGGAGACAAATGACACTTGCGTTGTGACGTTCTACCTCTGCTTTATTCCGGGAATGGACAATATCCTGTTTCTTTTTTCCATGTCAGACAAGAATTTTCCATAACTTCTTCTTGCTGAAGAGTGATGTTGTCAAGGGGCCCCAAATACCTTAAGACAGAGACCCAGTCAACACCACACAAAACCATGAAAATGAAGCCAGAGAGGCCTTAGAGTGTGTCTGCTCTACAGACTAACTGGCTGGGTATTTTTTTGTTTGGGTTTGTTTTTTTTTTAAGACAAACTAACTGGCTCAGAAGGTGGCTTTGTACTGGTAGCAACCCTGAAGAGTGCTAACAAGCCCGCCCGCACGTTTGTGCTCAGGCTTGCTGGTAGAGCGTCTTCCACACACATCCAGGAATTTGAGAACGAAGCGTGGTTAGGTCATGTTTTAAGAATGTTCTCTCATTATCCTGACTCAGAGGGCGCAGGGAGCCACAGAAGGGAGGTGGCACAGTGATACCTTCTGTTTTGTCTGGTTTTCAGGAAATGTCTTCCGCCGTGTTGACGGCCGTAGGCTGATGTCACTGAGGTTCGTTCCTTCCCATCTTTTTACAGGGCTAGAGCAAGGGCGCTTTTTCCTGATGACATTTGACAAACTGCGTGACCTGGGGGTTAAGCCTGTTGAGGGGAGAAGCCCCTCTAGGAAAGGTGAGAGGAACCAGAGGAGGGTCTAGCATGGAAAGAGAGGAGAAAAGCAATGATAAAAATCACAAGCCACAAAATTTGGGAAAATAGAAATCCAAGAGCTGTGGTTTGGCAAGGAACTCTGACCGTTAATGGGAAAGGCAGAGAGAGAGAGAGAAGGAAGAGGAAACGGAGGTGAAGAGCATGGAGGAAAGGAGAGGAGAGAAGGAGAGGCGGAGGGGAGCAAGAGAGGAGGACAGGCAGGGGAATAAAAGCAGCAAGACTCAGTGTATGACACAAATGCATCAGTAAGGGACATTGTGAGGAAATGCACTGTGATGAGAGCCCAGAAGTGAAAAGTCAGGAGAGGCCACCCAGTATGGCAAATCTGGTCATGCCAGCGTCCCGGAACTAGGAGAGGCTTCTTTGGTAATTCGTGTTTAATCAGCGTGTCTCCTGCCAACGGACAAGCATGTGCTTGAAGGACATTTTGAAGTTTCCTCAAAGGCTGGAATAGGGATCCTGAGGTCATCATTAGCAATTCTGGGGGGGAATCTCCTCACAGGTCCCCACATGATATATCTCACACACACACACACACACACACACACACAGGTGTACATGCACACTCAAAGACCATTCCATGGCTTTCCATTATACTTAGAATAAAACCCAACCTCAACTCCTACAGCCTCCCCAGCCTCCCCTCACAGCAGCCTTGTGGCCATACCGGCTGCCTTGCAGTTCCCTGAACCCCCTGAGCTCTCTCTCACCTCAAGACTTTCCCAGTGTTGAGGTGCCTGGGGGGCATAATTGGTTAAACCCCCTACTCACAATCTCAGGGTGAGTCCCACATAAGGCTCCGGGCTCAGTGGGGAGTCTGCTTGAGATCCTCTCCCTCTACCCCTCCCTGTGCTCTAAATCAATAAATCAATAAATCAATAAATAAATGACTTTCCCAATGTTGTTTCCTCCTCCTGTGCTCCTTCTTCACCCTCAGAGAGCTGGCTCCTCTTCATCCTCTATGCCTCACCCGGAGAGGCCATCTTCAACCACTTTGTCTCAATAGGTTCCCACGCTCCCCGGTATTCTCTCACTACACACTATTAGTGTCTTGGCACCATCATTTGTCACTGTATATTTATTGATTTGTCTACCTGCAAATTGTCCTTGACACCTACCAGTCAAATATTTGTTGATTTTTTTAATAGATTTTATTTATTTATTTGAGAGAGAGAAAGAGAGAGAGAGAGCACGAGCGGGAGGGAGGGGTAGAGGGAGAGCGAGAAGCAGACTCCCTGCCAAGCAGGGAGCCCGACATGGGGCTCCATCCCAGGACCCCAAGATCATGACCTGAACCTAAGGCAGATGCTTAACTGACTGAGTCACCCAGGCGCACCAAATATTTGTTGATTAAGTGCACAAGTGGAATGTTCCAGATTCACTGATTTGGGATGCCCAGATTTGGGGACTGGTAGCAATCCCCAGCAACTCCTCTTTACTAAGTGTCTCCCCCTCCTCCCTGCTGCCCCACACCTCATTCCCACCTTGGCCTTGAAGCTGTTCCTGGCCACCCTCTAGTTAAAGGGGAGGCAAGCAGCTGTCTTTGGGTGGGGCAGATGCAATCAGAAGCCTCAAAGAGTTAAAGAAGGAAATTAGAGTTGGCAACTAATCTGATGCTCCTTCTGTATAATTAGAAAAACAGAAAGAGCATCACAAAAGAAAGAGTCCTGAAGAGCAAAGAGCACAAAGGTTAGAAATGTTCTATGTTCAGGGATGAATGTTCCTCTGGGTGGTACAGTCCTCTGAGGGATCCCACTCCATCCCTGTGCGTGCAGAGGCCATTCCTCACAGCAAAAGCTCCTTGGCTGCCACCATCAGGAAATGGGCGATGAGAAAGGAGACCACCTGCCCCCCCAAACCAGCACTGCCCCTGCTCCTCTATCAAGCTGCCTTTGGGGTGTTGTTCTGCTCGCTCCCTCACTGGCTCTGTGCTTTTATCCAAACAAAATATGCTGGGGTAACATCCACTTCATAAAGCTCCAAGAGTTGCTTAGCGTTCATGCTCCTCTGCCCTTGTGATGAGAAGAATTTTTTTTTTGGCCTGAGTATCGGTCCAGAAACATGTTTAAAGATCACGTGAGATCCTGATGCTGTCATAGCTTTCTGAAGCCTGGGTCTTGCTCAGAGCTTGATGATCAGTCCACAAATTAAACTCTTGGCCAAACATGTATGGCTCAAGTTTATCCAAAGTCCAAACAAATCAGATACTCCTTCTGGACAGAAGTCAAATTCTTTCCTTTGGTAACAACTGCTCAGAAATTTAGAAAAGTGATATGTTTTATATCCTCAGAGTTCTTATAATCACATCCAGTCTTGTCTAAAATGCATCAATTGCCATAATGAAAGGCTCTGAAAAGTCTGAGGCTTCCTAAACGGATAAAGAAATCAAAGCCTGTTTGAACTTTTGAGAAATATCTCAACACTGTAGGATCCAAAAACATTAATGAGTTTGCCCTCTCTTTGTAAAACAGCACAATAGGCCAGCTACAACTCCAAATGAGGAAAATTCTAAGGGATCTCCTAAAGGACATGCTTTTTTTTTTTTTTTAATTAATTGTAGGGAGTTTGCCAATCTTTACTAGAGTCTGCTCTGTTCCACAAGAGAATCAGATCTCAGATATTTGACCTATGAAAGCCCAACAGGCATTACTAAATTTCATATAGTTCATGGATGACTGCAAGTCCCAAATTGGATACACCCTCACAATTAGGGATGAGGTCATAAAATGTCAGTCTCTGAAATTCAGGATAAAAAATATCAATATAAAATTAACCACCATGATGTCAGTAACGTGGGATTAACATCTTAAAGAAATAACAAGCCTTTGGAGCAGTTTTGTCAATTTGTAGGTCATGTGCCCTGGTGTGTCCCGGCAGGGAGAAATAAATCTACATGATGTCAACAGTCGGGATAGCTACCATTCGCTGAGCAGCTACGATATGGCAGACGCGGTTGCCAGAAACTTCACTTCATTAATCCTCCCAACAAGCTGGCAAGGAGGCTCTGACGATTCCCATTTTAACTATGAGGATTTTGAAGTGTGAGGGGGCTGAATGTTGTTCACTGTCACACAGCAAGTGTTACTGGTGGGATTCCAACCCTGATCTTCTCAACTCCAAACTACGCTGTTAATGGCATGAGTGGAAGAGAAACGGTCCCGTGAAGGGAAGCAGCAAGTGAGTTAACTGGAACCAAGCTGTAGGAAGGTCTCTGAACGCTTTGAGGTGAATAATCCAAGTCAGTTATCCAGACTGAAACAACTCTGGAGGGAAGGGATGTGATTCCTTAAGGCCTCCTCAGCCTGCTAGAGAAATCCCTTAAGAACACTCAAGTCCCTTGGACTGAATTCAATATTCACTAAGGCTTCTGATCTTTAGTTTGATCTCCTGGGGATGCCTTTTCCCCTGGTGGGGAAAGTACCTTATGGACATAACCAGGGCTGGTCAGTTACCAGTTATATTCTCTGAGATGAAATAATAACTTGGTCCGGTGGAGGGCATTTCGTCGCTGAGTGGATCATTGGGAATCAGCTCCCAAAAAAGATTGGCTCCAAATGAACTGAAATGGCATGTCTGATCCTACAAAATCAAGGACCTGGGTCTTCAATGACCTCCCTCAAAATGCCCAGAGGGCTCACCTCGAAACAGCCCACCCAGCAATCCGGCCACCTTAAAGACAACTCTACAGGCCACTTTTCGCAAGTGACATTAAGAGACCATCACATTGCATGCTTTGTCTGGCCAAATATAGCTAGGGGATACATGCAGGATGTCAAAACAGTCTGAGGCATATTCAATAAGCCATTAGCCAGTTTCTAAAATTAATCAGATGGATCCCCCACATAGAGAGGTTCTGGAGGAGACCCCCTGAGGCTTTAGAGGACCACCATGCCCACAGTCCCCTTCTCAGGAAAGCCACTCCTAGAGATCCTTTCTATAAACAAACTGCTGGTTCATGCCTTGTATGTTGAATTAAAGCACCATCTCCACATTGGCCTTAACTGATGAGAACAGAAACCCATCAGTCATGGCGCGGCCCAAGGTAAAGCTGACTGCGGTGTATATAATAAGGGAGGCCAGCAGCTTCTGAGGCCATTTGGCAGGAGAGCTCCTGATTAGACAGTAACGAAGTGACCTAGTTAGCCTCCGCTGGTAGGAAGAAGAAATATTAGGCGGACAAAGAGCTTGTGTTGCTCCAGATCAGGTGAATAGCTCAGCCAGGTCTCCATGAGGCTCCTGCATATCCCAGGCTTAGCGGGTAGTCCCAGTCTTAGGAGGCTTAGAGCGCATAACTACCCCCTCTGGACAGCTTACTCTTTGCACTGAATTCAATATTTCCCTCAAAAATGTTATTTATGGGGCGCCTGGGGGGCTCAGTTGGTTAAGCGACTGCCTTCGGCTCAGGTCATGATCCTGGGGTCCCGGGATCGAGTCCCGCATCGGCTCCCTGCTCGGCGGGGACTCTGCTTCTCCCTCTGACCCTCCCCCCTCTCATGTACTCTCTCTCATTCTCGCTTTCTCAAATAAATAAATAAATCTTAAAAAAAAAATTTAAAAAAAAATGTTATTTCTGAAACTTAACACATGGAACACTTCTGAAATTTTACACTTGAACCTGCCCTCTGCAGAACTCTTAGATTAAGCTAAAGAACTTCCGGTTGCTTATTTGCAAGCATCAAATATCTCCATCATTAGAACCCATGATTTACTTCTTCACTTATTCATCATCTACCAGGGACATCTTTGCAAAGAATTTTACAAAAAGGGAGATCCTTTCCCCAATTAGGAATTGTTTAGTTTTTGTCCCTCGTGTTAATATTTCTCTTCCTTAGCACTTTGCTTCTTTTTTTTTTTTTTAAGATTTTATTTATTTATTTGAGAGAGAGAGAATAAGAGAGAGAGAGCATGAGAGGGGGGAGGGTCAGAGGGAGAAGCAGACCCCCTGCTGAGCAGGGAGCCTGATGTGGGACTCGATCCCAGGACTCCAGGATCATGACCTGAGCCGAAGGCAGTCGCTTAACCAACTGAGCCACCCAGGCGCCCAGCACTTTGCTTCTTAATGCTAGAACCAATCTTACTGTATTGACATGCCAAGCTTAAGTTTACTCAGTAAACACTAAAGTTGGAGTCGCTGGGTAACTGCTTATGGGCCGGCCCCTGGCACTGCCACCTTCTTCCAAGAGCACCAGGATTCTTTTCATGGAGCTTAATTTTCAGAAACGCTTTGAAATGTAGAAAAGTTTAAAACTGAGCTATGAAGTGACATCTCCAAGCTTCGTTGTTGAAAATCTGAAAATAGCGGTGTGCCTGGCTGGCTCAGTCACTGGAGCGTGAGACTCCTGATCTCAGGGTTGTGAGTTCGAGCCCCACATTGGGCGTAGAGATTACTTAAAAAATAAAAAAAATTAAAAATTAGATAAAAAATAAAAATCTGAAAATATTTATGGTTTTCACTCATGTGCATTAAATAAACTCTTAAAATGTGCCTCAGAAAGTAAATTATTGAGTGCTTGCTGCAGACCAAGTATGATGTTAAATGCTTTGCCCTCTCTTATTTAATCTCCACAGTGATGCTTGGAGGTAGATAGTATTATTTTATACAGATGTTGAAGTGGAAGGAGAAAATCTGGATCTAACATGTGCCATGGTGCTTTTCTTACTAGTAGGCAACATCAGGAGTGAGAACCCTGCTTTTGAGCCCTGGTCTGCTTCTTACCTGCGTCCTCGGGCATGTCACTTCTCTTCAACCATCTCACCTGGGCTTCCACTTCCTCCTCTGTTAGTCATTAATAATTCCTGATTATCATTAATCGTTATGATTATTTTTATTTGAAGGGGGTCCTAACTTCAACAGAACAAACCCTCCATCTATCATTTCACTATTATAGTTTCAATCAGTGTGTCTTAAAGATTGAAAGGCAAATTGGGACAACATGGATGGACCTAGAGGGTATTATGCTACGTGAAGTAAGTCAGACTGAGAAAGACAAATACCATATAATTTCGCTCATATGTGGAATCCAAACAAACAGCAGAATCAGACCTATATATACACAGAACAGTTGCCAGAGGGGGAGGGGGTGGGGAGAGGGGCAAGATGGGTACCGGGGAGTGGGAGAAATAGGCTTTCAGTTATGGAATGAATAAGGCATGGAAATAAAAGGCACAGCATCAGGAATGCAGTCAATGATCCTGTAAGAGCATTGTATGGTGACAGATGGTAGCTACACTTGTGGTGAGCATGGCATGATGTATAAACTTGTCGAATCACTATGTTGTACATCCGAAACTAATGTAACATGGTGTGTCAACCATACTTGAATTTTAAAAAATAATTTTAGGGCGCCTGGGTGGCTCAGTTGGTTAAGTGACTACCTTCGGCTCCGGTCATGATCCTGGAGTCCCTGGATCGAGTCCCACATCGGGCTCCCTGCTCGGCAGGGAGTCTGCTTCTCCCTCTGACCCTCCCCCCTCTCATGTGCTCTCTCTCATTCTCTCTCTCTCAAATAAATAAATAAAATCTTTAAAAAAAAATAATTTTAAAAAGATGGAAAGGTAGAAACCATGGGGAGGGGTTTTAGGTTAGTACTTATCAGTTAATGCTTCAATTATCAATTAATGCTTTGATAAGAATTACTTGATAACCAGCTGAGAACAAGAACAGAACATGGGCTGAGCTACCATGGACAGAAAGTACTAATGACTCCTGAAGGACCAATGGAGGTTGGATGAAAAGTGCCCAAAACAAAGTTTCACCTATGTACATATTATCTGGGCTCCGCCTGGCTCAGGATGTGCCTTCGGATTTGGTGTGAAGGCAGGGAGTGACGTTCAGAGTATCATGTGCAGTCTGGTCTGGCTGAAGTATGAATGAAGAAGTGCTGACAGAGGAAAACCAAGAAAGCGAGCCTGGGGGAGGGTATAGGGAAAGCCATAGTCAAGAGTTTAGATTTTATGCCACAGTGAGGAATCTTTGAGAACTTCTTAGCAGGGCCACAGCATGAGACCCAAGCTGCTTACAGAATCAGGGAAATGGTGGGGCTAGGGTATGGAAGACAGGGGCTTAAGACGCGGTCATGAGGTCCTGGAGCCCCAAACTAGGGTGGTGGTGATAAGAATAGAAGGAAAGGTGCAATGCTGCAGGAGATATGGATGCCAACTGGATTTGGGGGATTGCTGAGAGGACACCCGTAAACCACAGACACCTAGGGATGCTGGGCACTGATGAAAGGTCCAAGAATTCCTATTTTCCTTTCCCTCTATTCTCTACCCAATCAAAAGTGCCCTAACTTGACATCAGTGGCAAGTTATTGAGTACCTACACGTGCAAAATGAATGGAAGAGTCATCTTGGCCTACCAAAAACCACAGGCAGCAATAAACCTGGCAGAGAGAAGGTGAGGCTAGCGCAGGTTCTGGTCCTTTCCAAACCTACGGGCACTAGTCTAAACCTCTAAGAACGTCCTTCCTTGGGAAAGGCAGCCCAGATTACTAATAACCAGGAGATAACTGGGATCTGGTCTCAGTTCTGCAACTGACAGGGTGCCTCCCTTAATCGTTTATTTCTTCCTTATTTCGGAGCAGGTATTTCCGAGAAGCTCCGAACAGCTCAAACTCCAGGGCCGCACTGTCTTTCCTCTACCCTTTAATATTTTAATTTGTTTGCAAATAAGCAAACATCACCCTCTAATATTCCTTTATTCAGTTAAAACTATTTTCCCCTCTCGTTTTCTAATCGCGTTCTTTATAAAGCACAGCACCGATTCGGAGCAGGGGTGATGGCCTCAATATCTGGGTCTGGGCTTGGGCATCAAGACAAAGCCAATCCGCGTGCTCCCTCCGCGTGTCTCCTCTGCCCGCCACCATCACCGCTCTGCCTCCGCGACCGCATCCCGTTCCCACGGCAACCGCGGGGCGCCCGCGTCCGGGCTCAAGACCTCGGGGCCCCGGCCCCGCCCCCACGCCAGCGCTCGCGGCCCCCAGCTCGCGTTGCCAAGGAAACGGGAGGACGCCAGGCAGCCACCCCCACGGCCTCTGCCCCTAGAAAGTCGGGCCGCCGTCGCGGAAAGCTGCCTCCGGGGAGGAGGAGGAAGAGGGGCCGGTAGCGGGAGGGGAGACGAGACAGGAGGAGGAAGAGGAGCACGGGGACGGCCCCCGCGCGATTGATGGGCGGCCCCTCCGCCCTGGACCAGCCCGCCTGTCCTGCCCCTCGGCCCCTTCAGCCCGCGCAGGTGGGCAAGGACTGACCCGCCAGGTAACGGCCCGCCCCAGCCGCGCGCGCCCCCTGCGGCCCCCAGTCCTCCAAGGAGGTGTGGGGAGGAGAAGCGGGACACCCTCTCCTTTCCGCTTCTGCCATTCTGGAGGGAAATCGGGCCGAAGCCGGGCGGCCTGGCCGCTCCCTCTCCCCGGCTGTCCCGGTGTTTTCCTGCCTCAAAGGGACAGGTGTGGGGGGCCCGGTGATCACTTATTTGCACACTGGCAGCCCCCCCGCAGCTGCGCAACTTCCCCGCAGGCTTCTCGGGTCTGCAAGTCCAGAGTAGGTTTACACGGACCGAATGGCCCCTCCGGCTTCCGAGAGGGAAATTGCTGATACTGGCATCCTTGGGAGCGTCGAATTGCTTGTCAAGCCTGTGACATCAACCCCACCCCCCAAAGTTTCCCAGTTACACATGGAGTCTCTCTCTTCTAGGCTTGAAAGTCAGTGTGTGACCGCCCATCTCTGTCACAGTTTCACAATAAAATGAAGAGTCGCCGCCAAAGAGCTTTTCTTACAAGCCCCTTACACCCCCCACCCCTTGATTGCTTAAGCCTAATTGGCTGGGAGAGTCCGATTATCTCCCCCCATCCATGTCAATTCCTCCTCTCTGCCTTTGGTCACAGCATTCTCTCAGTAGCGGGGTGTTAGAAAAACTGGCCCCAAATCACTCATCTTTGTTGCTTACATTCGAGTCATTTTTATAAGATTTTAAAACTCTTAAGATTTTTTTTAAGCTAAGACTTAAAGAAATCCAGTAATCTTTGTCATTACAAATTAATTAATTGTGTAAAAGGAGAAATAAAGTCTGAGCTCCTTCTTCCAAGTACCCAGTTGTGAAAAAGAGGAATTTATAAACCTGATTGTCAGGTATTAATATAGCCATTTAGATGTTGGTCCAAAGGAACCTGAAGCCTAAAGAGGGGCTTAAATTTACATTTTTCTTTATTGCTGAGCCAATAAAATATTCACTTTAGTACTTCTGATATGAGAACATATTAGAAACTTTTAATAAGAAAACAGTGAAATAGCTTGATGTTATTAAAAAGGGCTCCCTTCAATTCTTTTGACAAATGTGGTCATAGAACAGAAGGACAGTATATATGATATTTCAGAGAACTGAAAGAAATCTATTCTGCAATCAGATTCTGTTCTCCTTAGTCAGGGAAACTTGGTTCGAATTCATTGCAAAGTTACACTAGAGAGGAATACATATGTTACAAAGTTCTTAGAATATTCCTCATTGAAATTTCACAGATATGTAGAATTTTGAGGCCAAGAAGAATCACTCACTCTTGCTTTCAGCAAAGCAGGACTCCCTTCTCCCTTGCCCACATTCCTCCTACTCCCTTCTCTCCTTCTCCCTCTCCTGATTTAAAATGGCTTCTTATGTTGATTTTTAAAGCACATATTTGGCCCAATATATTGTCACCAGAGACTTAAAAGAGAAGCGTGCATGACCATGAGTGGATTTTAAATTGAGAAGCAGTTCAAAGGTGAGAAATGGAAGAGAATACAGAATGCTATTTTAGAAACATGCGCCTTGCCCACATTTTATTACCACCCCCTCCCCCACCTGTCTGTATTTGCGGAGGAAAAATTTGGGGGCCTCAAATGGCCATCTGGTTGAGTAGGCCCACTAAACTGAGATCTGCAAATTAAGCATTATCTCATGTGAATTTATTTCCAAACAGTTATTTCTGTTTCTTGTTCGTCCTGGTCAGTTTTCAAACCTGCAGTACAGTATGAGGTTCAAGTGGTACTTCAGAAAGCTGGAGAATTTTTACCTAAATCGTGGTGATCACCTAATAATCTCTTTCCCTGGTGCCTATAGTATTTGTTTACTCTCACAGAGTATTGATGTGTTTAAATAAATAACATGTGGGACCATGATGCTTCTAAATATGCATTTTATAGTAAAGTACAGTAATCGTTTATGGGAGGGTAAAGAGACTTTTGTAGGTAATTTGAAAGTCCTTTATTTGGTAGATGATTGTGAAGTCAGAGGTAACCTAGCAAGTAGTTCAAATAGTGTTATTTCCTACCTCATCAGACACAGTTTTTTCATGCCTCTTGACTTAGAAGTCTCTTTAAAATAACACAGCATTAAAGCCAGGATATATGAGCTGGTTTTTCTATGTTAATTTTGTAACCAAAATGTATCATTCAAGTGGACTCTGGGATGTGCCCCTTTAGTGACCATTAACACATTTTTGTTATGAAACCTTATGTTCTCTGCCTAATTCATATTCAGACAGGCTTCTCTTTCCAACAGTAGCAGCAGAGGTTCATCTTTCTCCCTGTTTTACCACCACTGTTTTCCTAAAAGAGTGGGAACATAACTTCATTCTGTGCAGGTACAAATTCATATGAAAAGTTAAAAATGATCTTTATTTATTTATTTATTTAAGAGAGATAGACAAGGGAGGAGGAGCTGAGGGGGAGAGAACCTCAAGCAGGCTCCATGCCCAGCACAGAGCCCAAAGCGGGGCTCGATCTCACGACCCTGAGATCATGACCTGAGCTGAAATCAAGAGTCAGATGCTTAACCAACTGAGCCGCCCAGGGGCCCCAAAAATGATCTTTTAAAGTGTAGTTCTATAAATGACTATTAAAAATCCTCAGAGGCAAAATTTAGGTTTTGCATGTAGTCTGTGGAACTATCTGTTGGTTGTAGCTTTAGACTTGGACTCTCAAAGACCAACTTTGTATACTTCAGAGACAGCAACTCCAGAGGAAGCAGCACAAGTTACTAGATGATACTGCCCAGGGCTAGGTGGTAAACCTGGTGAGATTTCACAAAGACCAGTCCAGACACTGAGTCACCATGAGTCAGGGGCAACCTGATTTTCCCAATATCTATACAAATGAAAAAAATGAAGAGAGGAAGGAGAGCTTCAGAATGCAAACACCCAAGGGTAGGGATGTTGTCTATCTTATCCTGCTGTTTCTCCAGTGTCTAGAGCAGCACCTGTCACATGCTAGTCACTAAAAAATGTGTATCAGAAAGAAGAACAAAGCTGGAGGCATCATGCTTCCTGATTTCAAACAATATTACAAAGCTATAGTAATAAAATTATATGATATTGGCATAAAAGCAGACACATAGATCAATGGAACAGAATAGAATGCCCTGGAAAACTCATGCATATATAGTCAATTAATTTATGACAAAGGAGCCAAGAACCTACAATGGGGACGGGACAGTCTCTTCAATAAATGGCGCGGGGAAAACTGGAAGGCACACGGAAAAGAATGAAACTGGGTGATATTACACTATACACAAAAATTAACTTAAAATGGATTAAAGACTTGAACATAAGACCTGAAACCATAATACTCCATAGGTGGTAAGTGCCTTGACCTTGATTTGTCAATGCTTTTTTGGATTTGATATCAAAGGCAACAAGAGCAGGGTGCCTGGTTGGCTCAGCTGGAAGAGCAGGCGACTCTTGATCTCAGGGTCATGAGCCCCATGTTGGGTATAGAGATTACTTAAATAAACTTTTTTTTTAAAAAAAAGGCAACAAAAGCAAAAACCAACAAGTGGAACTACACCAAACCAAAAAGCTTCTGCATAGCAGAGGAAACCATCATCAAAATGAAAAGTCAAACTACTGAATGAAAATATTTGCAAATCATATATCCAATAAAAGGTTAATATCCAAAATATATTTTAAAAAAACGCAAACAACTCAATAGCAAGAAAACCCAAAAACCCAATTTAAAAATGAGTAGAAGATTTGAATATTTTTCCAAAAGAGACATACATGTGGCCAACAGGTACATGAAAAGGTGCTCAACTCACTCATCATGAGGGAATGCAATCACCCTTACTGACGATGAGATATCACCTCACCCTTGTTAGAATGCCTACTATCTAAAAGATAAGAAGTTAAGTCTTGAACAGGATGTGGAGAAAAGGGAATCCCTGTGCACTGTTGGTAGGAATGTAAATTGGTGCAGCCACTATGGAAAACAATATGGAGGTTCCTCAAAAAATTAAAAGTAGAACTACCATATGATCCAGCAGTTCCACTTCTGGGTGTTTATCCAAAACACTAACTCATTGCAGCATTATTTACAATAACTAAGACATGGAGGCAAACTCTGTGTCTATTGATGGATGAATAGGTAAAATGTGAGATATATATATGTCAGACAGAGAAAGAAATACTGTATGATCTCATTCATATGTGGATCTAAAAAACAAAACAAAACTCACAGATAGAGAAAACATTCAGAGAACAAACTGGCAGTTGCCAGAGGCAGGGATTGGGGAGGGAGGGGGGCAACATTGGCGAAGGGAGTCAAAAAGCACAAATTTCCAGTTATAAAATAATAAGTACTGAGGATGTAACATACAGCATGGCGACTATAGTTAATAATCCTGCATATCTGAGGGGCGCCAGGCTGGCTCGTCAGAAGAGCATGTGACTCTTGATCTCGGGGTCGTGAGTTTCAGCCCCACGTCAGGTGTAGAGATTAAGAAATAAAATAAAGAGACTTAAAAAATACTGTATATTTGAAAGTTGCTAAGCGAACAGATCTTAAAAGTTCTCATCACGAGAGGAAAAAAATTATAACTATGTGGGTGATGGATGTTAACTAGACTTATTGCAATCATTTTGCAATATACACAGATATCTATTCATTCTGTGGTACGCATGAAACGAATGTCATGTTCTACGTCAATTAAAAAAAAAAAATACGTGTAGCAATCACTGAAAGGGCTTCAGTGGCCCCAAAAGCAGGATGTGTAGGACTTCAGGTGACCCTAACCGAGGAGGTCTCTCAGACTCATCATGAACAGCGCCGTTTACTAACTGTGTGACTTTAAATATTTTGGTCATAAACTCAGGCCACACCAGTCAGAGCCCTAGCTCCTGAAAGCATCGTCTCTACTGCCTTACCTCTCGTTTGCGCAATCCTCGGCAATCTGTCTTCAGTGCACTCACCAAGGTTATAAATAACCTGCTCCTTGAAAGGCGCTCTTCGCA